AAAATGAACGATCGATGGAGACAACGACAAAGATTAATAAATCGATGTCATGTAATGTAGAAAAAATATTTTATATATTCAATTGTAAATTATTTTAAAATATTCTTGCAGAAAATCAGAATAAAATTAAAATGCATATACAAGTGATTACAACACGACAACACGAAGCTTGAATATAATAAAATAAATGTAATGTCTGTTATTTTTTTTTACTTATCTACGCATAAATAAATCTCTAAATTCATGTCGAAATGTTTTTGACCCAAGTAAATTTGTATAACAACTAATACAATATGGAATGAAACCAATAATGGTATTAAAGAATGTAACAAAAGTTTCAATTTGACTTTGAGCAATACTCTTTGTTTCATACTGAGTCGCTTGTTGATACATAACAGTAATTGTTAATGGAATGCTGCAGACGATATAGATGGTTGTATCAATACTAAGAATTCGAATAAATTGACGGTCTCTTAAAGGAAGCGTATGGGTGTTTCTAACAGCTGATGTTTGAATTGTTTGTATGATAGGAACAACTCTAACATGATGTATGGTTCGAATATTTTTAAATGTCCACAAACCAAAAACTAACATGAGTAAAGGAACAAGAATTGCTTTGATTATAAGTGAATAATAAGCTATAATTGTAAAATAAACACCAGGAATAAAATAACAAATATCATAATTTGGTTCAAATTCTACAATATTGACATAAACAAATGCATGAGTGTGCAATAATATCCAAAATACTACTACACTAATAGCACATATATAAGCATGATGTAGAGAACTTCGTTGTCTTGTTCTAGCATTTGATGAAGTAACTAATATTCGATCAATAGAAGCTAATATTAAACAAGATGGTGATAAAATATCACATACCATAGTCATATATATAATAAAACGACAATAAATCAAATTGTATGAAGTAGGATTTATACTATAACCACTTGATAGTGTTACAGATACTAATGATGTACATATATATGCACAACTAGAACTATGAAATACTATCATGTAAATTGCACATGGATTTTTTCGTAGATTTTTTTTAGTGAAAATAAATAAACTTAATATACAACTTATAGTACCAAAACCAATTAATACTGGACCAAAAAATCGGTATAGTTGTTTTTGTGCAAATTGTAATGATGTTATAAGATTTGTATCTGATGAAGACAGAGACATTAGTATGAATTTTTTCTAAATAAAATATAAATTATAATTTATTAAATATTTTATATATTAAATTCATACTTAGCTTCGATTTTTCCACTTGAGATGAATTAACTGATACGTGCTGAATTGCTTGTATACTTATATACCATAGAATAAAATCCACTTATCAATGACACCGCGAGAGATAGACGATGAATTTAATAAGAATCTATTCTAGTCGTTATAATTTTGTAATAGGATAAAGACTATTTTTAAAAAATAAATAAAAAAACTGTCAATTTTAATTTAGTACTCGATGATGCTGTTACATGTTTTCTAAGCCTTTTAGACGTTACCAGTGCATAATTGAATTATATGTCAACAGTTTAAGTCATATTTATAATCTTCTTGAAATAAAATCATAAGATACTTCTATATTCTCATTAAAAACGTGTATGATTTTTAATAGACTAATTTTCTTGCTATTTTTATTTATCAATTAATTTTGTAACGACGCAATACACTGATTCTTATTTTAATTTTTAGTTAAAATCATGATTATCGTCTAATATATACATATGAAAAAGTTTAATGAATAGTAATTCTAAGCAAGACGATGTGGGTATACTTCATTTCCGTATAAGAGCATTTATTGAACTTATCAGAATTTGATTAACTGACATCTAAATTAAATCAAATGGTCGATAGATTATAAAACTAGATAGATCAAATTTCTCTAGTATAGTACGTTTCTGTCCTGTTCAACAACATTAAATGCACGTGATCAATGAAGATACTTATCATAATCTAATGCTTTTGACATTAAAAACAATTTAGATTAATTTAATCGACGTGATAAAGTAAGAGTTTGAATACAGAGAGCTTTATGAAAAATAATATTTATTAGCAGAATAAATTGATAATTTTGAATATCTTACATTAGGATTATTGTGTTACTACGTAGTTTATCAGTCAGTTGAGCGTTGATTTTGGCATGTTTGAAGATGAATAAATATAAAACTACAAGTATATATATGCATGCTTTTTTAATTATACTAATGCATTTGTTTCCTGTTTTCTTGAATGTGACTAATCTTTAATATTGTGTTAGACGTGTAAGAATGAAAAACTAATTTGAAAGTCAATAAAAATTAGATAACTATGATATGATTCTTCTACGTCGTTAACAAATATTTGTTATTGAATATAAAGTAGTGAAGTCATTTTAATGATCAAGAACTCAATAGACAAGTTCTACCGTGGTAATGTAAGAAAAGAAATTGATCAGAATCATGCTCACGACTTTATATAAATTCTAAATATTCTTTTAATTTTTGTTATTTTATCATAAGAAATTACAGGAAAATTGTGAAAATGAAAAAGTGTAAGACAATAGAAAAGACTAATGTGTTGGCTGATGATTTTGTTGTTGTCATCGAAGCAAAATGACGAATGATTTCGAGTGTACTATTATCGGTATCGTACACGGAATACCAGCCTTGAGGTTCATGTGGTGGATCACCAATAAAATCATCTCCTTGTGCCCAATTGGCATGTGGAATTCGTGGGCGTCCTTCCCCTCCATAAGCCCAAAAATTGACGGGTATGTTATGATTACGAGCAAACTGAAAGACAGCTTCATAATATTGGTCACGCACTGTAATAGATGCCGTTGAACTATGATTATCATTGTCTCTAAAAAAAACAATAGACAAAGAATAGAAATAGGTCAAAGAATAAATTTGTTGCTTACCGAGATATGCCGAATTCTTCTAAGACGATCGGTTTATCTTTGTAAGCGGCGTGATCATCGATATATTTCTTAGCAAATTCTAGAGCTAATGGCAGTGTGACTGAAGCATTGTGGGGATCATAGATACCCCAATTTTGTACCCATAAATGAAAAGTAGCATAATCAATACATGAACTGGCATGATCATTTGAGAAGTTTTTCGATGAAATACTGCCTTCGACACCTGTAGTAATCAATTGCTTTGGAGCAAGTTGTTTAAGTAAGCAAGCAGTATGGTTTACCCATGTAAGATTCAAACGACGAGGTTCGTTAGCTAATTCCCATGACATCTGAAAAAGAAATTATTATTGGATAAAATTTAGAAATTATACACAACAAAATAGTTTTCCCTACAATTGTTGGATCTTCTGTATAGGATATGTTGTTATATTTATTTGTACGTTTTACTATAAATTGAATATGATTGTTAAACAATTCCACTGCTCGCGGTAACTCATAGAATCTTGCAGAAAATAATTCATATGCATCGTAATCGCCTGGATAAGGAATTGAGTTTGCACCTCCAGCCCAAACTACATACTGACCAAAACCACCTGACCAATGCCAAAAATTATTTAAGCACATTACTGCACGCATTTGTCGTTTGTTCATTTCATACAAGAGAAAGTCTAGACCATCTAAAACGGCTTCATCATATGAACCAGGTTCAGGTTGCATCGAAGGAATAATACGCCATGGTTCTGTATTTGGACCTTCACTACCTGCTTGTAGACGTAAATTATCGACACCTAATGAATGTAATCGATCCAATTCGCGCAGTAAACGTGGACGATTGCCACCCGGTCCTGGTGAAGCAAGATTAGCGCCATACCAAAAATTGGTGCCAATATACATATAATCTTGATTATTCAAAGTCAAACGACCATTTTGTACTGTGATAAATGATGATGATTGTCCGTTGGCAATAATAAAGAGAACGACAACGATTATAACATACAACATGATAGTGTAGAATGATGAAAGGCAATGTTAGTTTATATCATATAACAGAAATCTGTATTGACAACTGTATCGTATACTTTAAGTGTCTTTTATTTCAATCTTTCCTTCTCCTTTTATATGATGCATTTAACCGTTCTTCGTCATATAATTCATCGAATAAAAGAGATTAAACATACCTCCGAAAGAGTATAGAGAAGTATATTTTACGAAAAAAAATACTGTATAGTGATATAATCATAGACACGTATCACATATCATTGTAACGAATATGTTATATCTCATTAAGATGGCATAATTATTGAAACAAGATCTTGTCAACAATTGTCATTATCAAGTTGAATCATCAAATTATAATAGATAAATAGATGAGTGTCATATTAAGTATATTTTTAATCTCAATCATCTAATATGTTGTATTTAACAAACAAAATACACCACACAATGTAACGTGAATTTCTTACAGGATCGATATTGAACTTCTCTAAATTTTGTTTATTTTGAGAACAACAAGTATAGTTATAAATTAGATAATCTTATGTAAGTTGTTGAATACAATGTATTTGATAATCGAAGAATGAAAGAAGAAAAGTATTTTTCAATGTATGTAATCAAATGATAATAATTATTGAGTGTGTGGGTGTAAGTGTGTGGATATAGGTGTATCACAACACTCTTAAAGTAAGACGAAAATTTTCAAAGTTTATTTTTTCAAAGAAAAAAACATTTATTCTCTATTATTTTTGTGCTTCGACCAAGGCTCTCTCCATCGCTTCAATGCTTCGACGCAAATTAGCCCTTCTTTGCTCTAGAATTGGTGGTTCCCTCATACACTTCAACAAGTCCGCAGGGGACAATGCTGTATTCAATCTTCCATCGAGAACTAGCACACCGTTGCGAATGAACCAGTAGTCGCAAAGTTGAGACAAATGATCAACAATACGAGCATGAACAATTGAACAATATGCTTGAAGGCCAATTAAAGCATCACTAGACCCCATGTTGTCGCTCGCTGTCGCAGTACCGTTTACTACTGCTATAATCAGAAAAGTTAGAGAAAATTTAAATTTATGTTTTAATAAGGATTTAACTAACTTTCGTTTGGTTTCAATTTCTTAAAAATCGCCAAGTAGTATGGGTTCACCGTAAATACCTTCTCTTCCATTTCTAACATTTGATGGACGCTTTCCATACACTTTTCTTTACTGTGCTGTATAATATCTTTGGTTATATTATTCAGTTCACGAGACAAAGGTAATGTGTAAGTGGCCTCTGCAGGTAAAACTGTCTTTAAAATGTAAGCAAGACATGCGGTCATGTATTCTTCGACCCATAGAACGAGATTTTTGCATGGTTTCTCGAGTTGTTTATGGTATGGTTGATACAGCTGTTGAATGATATTCGACGAAGGAAAGTTTGGTAAACCACCGCCATAATTTTCCTCGATTGATTGCAGCACTTGAGGTTTCTGCCTTTCTGAAGTAAACTTAGATAGAATCTTTTGAATCTCTTCCGAAGTGCATTTGCCGATCATTTTGAGATGATAAGCAATTCGATCATCCCACTTTTCACGCGCATGCTGATTGAACTTCTCGCCTGTTTTTTCAGATTTGATCTCATAATCACCTTGCACACGTTGTTCAACAGCTCTGCGATAGTTCCGAAGAATTTCATTGAAAGCAATCCTAGTGTCAGTTTCCGTTAAAATCACTGATGGAATTTGTTTAAGTTCTTCTCGCATTGTATGAATTTTTTCTTTGACCTTTTCGATTACGAGTGGCAACGTACATCGAATTCTATCTTGTTGAATCAAAACTAATTTTTTGATTAATTCTTGACTACCCAAGTATTCTTGAGGTACATCGGTGAAGGCTGGATTAGTTCGAAAAAATTCTGCCTCTCGTCGTCTCATTTCTTCAAACGAAACTCCTGCATCGATTTCCTCTTGCTTTCGATTGAGAACAGCCACGCAACCCAATGGAAGACAGAGAGATCCAGACCCGATTCCTTGCAATTTCTCGGCGATGCCTTTGTCATGTTTGTCAATTTTTGATACGGCGATGATCTGTCGTTCATCTAAAAACATTAATCAATAAAAATTCAATTTCATTGAACACAGTTTTCATACATCTCGGATCGTATTTTTGACAAATTTTGATCGATTCTGATGTGCTAAAATCGACTGATGATGGAATGACGTGTAAAACAACCGCTGATTGGTGCTGAACACATCCTTCGATTAGTCCAACGATATCCTGATAAATCGTTGGCGATTGGCCCTCCATTTGAGTTCGAGTGATTCCTGGAATATTCCAACAAGACTCGATTTTATTTTATCATGAATCAAAAGGATGCTGACCTGGTAAATCAACCAATGTTAAATCATCATGAATGTCCCGTTTGTAAACTGTGAGAAAAATAGGCTTTGACGAAATATTGACCAAATTGCCAGTCAAATGGTTTGTGCATTCCATCACTCTGAGTGGAATCTCTGAGAGATCGTTAAGACGCGCTTCATCGATTCCCTCACATCGAATCGTAGCATAGTCCGATGAATCAGGTGGTGCGCTTTTCATGCGCAATTCTAATGGACATCGTGTGCAAATATTCTGAGCTCGTGGTAGTTCAATACCGCTAATAGCTTCGAGTATAGACGATTTTCCTACCTATACAAAAAATATGAGTATTGACCTGAAACACGAACTAATAGAATTTACCGATTGATCACCAACAACAACAATCTCAGGAAGTGAAATCTTTTCCAACCGTAAGATTTCACGCATTGTGTCGACTTTCATCAGTAGCTGACGGCAGTCTTCTCCATTAATTTCCTTGTTGATCATAGCAATTGGATTGTAATTACTAACGGATGGTGAAGAATTTGCTTCATAATTTTCTGATGTGCCATTCGATATTTGACGACGTTGACCTTTGGGTCTTCCTGACATTGTTTCTCGTTTACGAAGATCACTGATTAATCGAATATTTATTTTGGATGATCAGCAAAAATACTGGTTCACCTCTGAAAAATAATCGTTCTTTTATGAGTCTCATTTCTTCAAGGTGAGGGTGAGCGGGTGGGTGTGGGAGTGAATAGAAAGAGTAGACACCCACATCCACACCCTCAAGATTGTTCCATCAGAAGTTGGCTGTACTCAGAGACTAATGATATACTTATGCAGTTAAATGACAGAAGTACCTGATCAACGAAAACCAGATGTATACTCAGTTCTTCAAAGTTTTGCCGTGTCGTGAATGAAATGCATGACCAATTCAGTATCGTCATTATCAGATTTCTAATTCTTTGCCACCCGTACTTTCAATACCTCATATATATATATATATATTGGTTTTAGAGAGTGGAACAGAATGACTGAGATGCAGCGAAAATCTGAATATTTTTTGGACGGGACAGTCTACAAACCTTCGACGAGTGATAGTATATACGTAACTGATGTCTAACTGAAAATTTTCTACACAATTTATATCGTTATTTACTGTCTGTTACTCTTAGAGACTGAAGTAACTTGCATTTTCTTTTTTTCTTTCTCTATCGAATTTTGTGGTTACTAACAAAATAATAAAATAGAACAAACAGAGACTTGCGTTTTTTTCTAGTGAAATCACCTGTCTTGGGGCTGTAAGAGAACGAAAAACATAAAAACAAAACAACAACATTTGTCATTATTTTTTATTTTACTAAAAGCATTATCATGTAGTCATTAGATAAGAAAAGACCAGGGAGCCAGAAATGCATAGAGCAGATGTGAAAGCAAAATAGAAAGAATATTTCGGGGAATCATCTGAAGAGTCTGAGGGTGAGCGTGGATGAAATAGAATATCTGCATAAACACCCATCCTCAAAAATCATACAAACGGCTCCGAAGAATGTGGGTGTAGGTATGCTCTATCAATTATCCACACCCATACACAATAACTATATTGAAAACGAAAGAGATGATAATGATCATAAAAATGAACATGACAGTGCAGTTGAATGGATGAGAGATTGGTATATCATCCATCAGGAAGGTAAAGTGGGTGTGGGTGTGAGTTGGGTGTTGTTGACTTCTTTATCGACACCCACACCCAAAAGAAATTTTTTGTTGAATAAATAATCGAGAAATAAAAGAATGTTTTATGAAAAAGTGAGAATAAAAATCGAAATGAAATAAATTTTGTTGAGCAAAATAAATACTGAAAAGATATTTTTTTAAATAAATTAGCAAATTCTATCATTTTCGAATTTTATTCTTTTTGTCGATTTGAAATTTGAAGAAAAAAAATTGACATTGAAGAATTATACTAAAAAATGAATTGAAAAATGAAATCAATGAAAAGAACCATCTTGAGGGTGGGTGTGGATGACGAAGCCGACCATGCCTAATTCACACACACACTCCAAAGTCATAAAAATTGCTCAGAACTAATACATACGAAATATTGAGTTCACTGAAACATCGAAAAGATCAAAAATTAAAACTCTTAGGTGATTAATAATTCGAGAGCGAAGACTTGTATTCTGCTGGTGTTTATCGATTATGTTATTGAGTATGAAAGAAAAATGTTAAAACGATTGACCACGATCGAAGTCTTTTTATTTTAAATTTCTGTATTATATCCTAATTGTGGTGCATTATCGAATACGTTATTTTCATGTAAGATTATTGTCTGAATGTTTCATAGTATGTTGCAATATATTCTCTTTCTACGTATTTATTTTTCTTTTTTTTTTTATTGTTCGTTTGAACTTTCAATGTGTGCTATCATATAGACAGCTAGCGAGATATATAATCGTTAGGTCCCAAGCAGACTGAAAAAAAACAGACAAATAAATCGTCTATTCTAGACGATTTAAGTCGGGATAGACGAATCAAGTTGCTTAATTCAATTCTAAGTTAATTCATTTTTTTTAGTCTGCTTGGGGCCTTATTTTCTCATCATTTTTCAACTATAAATAGTCGGTTAATTCATGAGAAAAGCCATTCTCGAAACTATTATTATCAACAACAACAACAATACAAGTAATTCATATTAAAAATCTCTACATATTCATTTGCTGTTTATTTATAGAATGTATCATCGATTATTATTTGTTGTCATATTCATCTCGTTCTTTTTGAATATTTGGTCACTTCGATGTTATGAAGGAAGTAGTACTAATTGCAAATTAGGAGAAAGTACTGATAATTTGATTTCTGACATAACATATGTATGCATTAAATACAATACATGCTCGCGGTTTAGTAGAAATTGTAATGAAAACGATCCAGATGCACGTAAACAAAAATGGGAATTTCTGACCGGTGATCAATTGGGATGTGATTATTTAAAACAAGGTGGTTACTTCGATGTAACATGCTGCTGGACAGATGGGTGTAATGAGCCACCTAGTGGTCTATGTTCAATGAACTAAATGTTCAACAATAAACATTAATCTGAAAGACATTTTTGTGTGCTAATTCAATAGTTTCTTTTTTTTCTTATGAATTGTCTAATAAATATCTGTCATTAGGATGAATTAATTGTTCTTGTTAATACTAATCTCTAACAAAAAAAAATTAGGTGTAGGTGTGAATGTAGAAATGGATTCACCTTTTATTTATCCACATGCATTGTTCTTTCTTTATTGACGGTGTGATGAAAAAATATCGAAAAGAAAATATCTGTCATCATTGATTGATTTAGTTTTCGTCGATTTCTCTTGAGTAGTCATATCGTATTAATAGGGTTTCGATAAAGAAACACCAATAATTGAGCATTTGATGATAGAATTTTTGTTATTTCAAATATGAAAACTTTGTCATCTAATACCATTTCAGCTTTTAAGTCTTCATAACCAAAAAAGATGAGACAATGTCGATTATAAACAGTTATGATCAATTGAAAAGTATTTTCTGTTTAAATACTCTAGAATTTGTACGAAATATACTCGTTCAATTAATAAAATCTGTGATAAATTCATAGTAATTATTTCTTATTCATATTTTCATATTTTATTCGACGTTTCTTCATTTGTCCTTTTTCATTTCGACATTTTTTCAGTCATTCTTTCTATGTATCTATTTTTCTTTTTTTTTCTTCATCTGTTGTTCGATTCAACTTTCAATTTATGCTATCGTATAGGCAGGTAGCGAAATATATAATCATTGTTCTCTTGTCATTCTTCAACTATAAATAGTCGGTTAACTCGTAAGAAAAATTATTCTCGACATTATCGTTAACAACAACACAAGTACATTCATTCGCTGTTTGTTCATACAATGTATCGTCGATTATTATTGGCTGTCGTATTCATCTCGTTCTTTTCGAATATTTGGTCACTACAATGTTATCAGGGAAACAGCACTCATTGCAAATTAGGAGAAAATACAGATGATCGGGTTACAGACATAAATTATCTATGCCTTAAGTATTACAAATGTTCACCACTCTTTGGAGATTGTGATAAACAAGATCTTGATTTACGTGGACAAAAATGGGAGTTTATGATCGCTGACCAATTGGGATGTGATTATATGAAAGAAACAGGTTACCTCAATCTAACATGCTGTTCGACAGATAAATGTAATCAACCACCTACTGGTCTTTGTTCAACGAATTAATGGTGTCAACCAAGAAATATTAATCTGAAAGAGATTTTTGTGTATTAATTCAATTGTCTCATTTTTTGTTTATGAAATGTCTAATAAATGCCTATTGTTAATACTAATCTTTAGAAATCAATTAAATTTCTTTATAAACAAACTATAATCGATATTGATTAATGACTTCTGTGAAGAATTCGTTTTGCTCCACATATTCCACTATTAATACAACCAGTAGAATCTTTAGAATTCGATGAAGAGAATTCAATATACCTTCTGCAATTTGCTCATCCGTTTCTTGTTCGAATTGTCTTGCTATACGTTGCTCTGGTAAACAATAATAAAATTGTGATTGATCTTTAATAATGACTATGCATTTTAATTGTCGCTCCCAGAAGATAGATTTTATTCAATAAACCAAAACTCATTTTCTAATATTAATTGTATTTGATTTTAAATAATTATATATCTCAATATTAGTAACCTCGACAAATTAATATGATTGCAAGATAAAACTTTGAAGCGATAATCTTAACTAATAAACCTAACTTATTAGAAATCGATCAATCTAATTCTATAAGATCACTTTCATCTTTTTCAAGTTCCGTATAACTAGAACACAACTTTACCAGATGTTACATCGGAACTATCCTCCAATATTGTCACTAAATGTTGTTATACTACTAGATTACTATGTATAATTGCTTCGCATAGAAAAACAAAACTCGAGAAGTGGTAAGAACTTCACGTTTTGCTCATTACTCAATTCATGATCACTTGATGATAGTAGTGTACAATTACAAACAATTTTAATTATAATAAAATGCTATATTTTGTTTATAATATTCAGTTCTATTTGTTGCTAAGTGCATACGGAAGTATCATCAATACATTTGTTTTAGTCTATTAGTCATCAAACCAAATTACCAACATAACTTTATCTCATATTTTTTTATTGTGTGTAATGAGTCATGTCATCTTTCTTGCACCATAACTGATATCGCTCTTTTTTTTTCTTTATTTCTCTTCTCTTCACAATATTCACTCGTTAAATACTCAACGATATCAGTAGTACGTGAGGAAATGAAAGCGAATCAACATTTTTTATGGCATGTGATATATCATGCTATAACAATAACATTTTGAAATGACTCATTTATACATTCTCTTACTTCTATTAAAGCAAATATTTGTTTATTTCTTGTACAAGCATATGTTCGTCGAGACGTATATATATCTTCTATATATTTCAATGATTAAAAAAGAGAAAAAAAAGCTACATTGTTCAATAACACAATGTCGCATGATAGTATTCGTGGAGATTATCAGGAAGACTCTATGGATACTACTGATCAAGATTACAATATGATCGCAGAGCAGGCAACAGCGGCGATAACTGCTCAAATACAAGCATTGTCATTGACCAGTAATGGATCAGCAGATACGAATTCTACAACTCTTTCTCCTTCATCAAATCAAACACAATTATTTAAGCAGAGTCGTTCAGATACAGTAGCTCGATGTTTTATGTTTTTTCCCACTTCTGGTCACATGGGTTTTGAAACTATTAAAACCTCGAACGAGTCACCCACAATTGAGACTATACGTGACATGATTGCCTACGAAATACGTATACGTTTATCCGAATCTATTCAACAGCTCATGGATATATATTACAAGGATGAAGGAGCTATTACGTAAGTTTTATTATTATTCATTTATTAAATTTTTAACACATTTTGTTATACTCTTGAAGCTTGATATTGGATCTCATTCAACAACATGTCGTAGAATTCTTTGGATATCGTGATGTGAACGCATTACGTACTGCTTTGTATCGATTTCCAGATGAACCTGCAATTAAAGATGCTTTTTACAGTAAGTCATGATCAACGCTTAACCCACGTACAGTTTTATAATTTAGTCAAACACAACAAAATCACACAAGGTCTGATTACACAAGACCAATATGTTCGTGATGTCGATCTGTTTACCTTGGAAGGTCATCCTACAAATATTCTATCGCATATTTCAGCTGGTCAACCATTGATATTGTTGGCTGGTTCAACTAGCTGACCCCCATTTCGGGCGTCTGCCGAGCGAATAAAGTATGTCTTTTTTTAAATTTTATGATAAGCACATGATTAATGAATATTGTTTATATAGCGCGCTATTTCGCTCGCATGCGTCCGATAGCATGGATTTTTTGGTGGTTTACATCGCCGAAGCACATGCTCGTAATCAGTGGCCAACAGGGAAGACCATCTCCTGTGTAGATCAACCAACAACGATCGAACAACGACTTGTCAATGCTCGAGAATGTCAAAAGAATTTACAATTTGAAATGCCTATGCTCGTCGACAATATGGACAATACCTTCCATCTCACATATGGATCATGGCCATATCGTTTCTATGTTATTTATGATGGCAAATTAGCTTTGAAAGCAGAACCACACAAGGACACATTTAGCTATCATCTTAATGAGCTCGATCAATGGATTGATAACTTCAAACAATCCCATGATCATACACTCGCTTAATTATAAATTTCTATCAAATACTCATTCATCGTTTGTTTTCTTTTCTTTTTAGTTCATTTCTTTGTCTCTTCTTATTCATTGAATTGACACTCTTCGACATAGAACTACAGTATATAGAAGTAGTGATGACTGTGTGACGAAATCACAGAATGTGGATGTCCATAGTCTGATTAAGATATATTGTTGTCTATGAAGAAGTTAGCGCGCAAATATGTCAAGTCGATGAATAGAGTGAACAAAGAGAAAACTAGGAGAAGAATCATTCGTATGTGCGAGTAATATTGATTGTTTTTTTTTATTTTTCAATAAATAAATTAAAAAATATTCCATTTTAACCAATAGTTTTCTAATCCTTCACATTCTTTGCACGTTGCCATAAAACGATCATAAATTTGACGACTTTGTTCTGGTGTCATGAACGATTTCCAATCGTTTATTTCTCCTTTACGTACTACTTTTATTCCTGATTCGTTCATGAATATTTCGCGTCTTTGTGCAGCTGCTTCTTTATCTTCTATATTATCAATAATATTCTTTTCAAATAATCGTCGTTCAGCATCATATTTATTTTTCATGTAATCGAACGATGAATATTTGAGGACTTTTTCAAGTAATTCATCATTTAAAGCAATATCGATGAAATTAGCAATCTAGAAATAATGGATAAAGATTATCATAAGACTCATATGATACTAACTTTGCATATCATTGATCGCAGATCAGTTCGCATCTCTTCGTAGGATACTAGTAGAACATTTTTGTCATTTCGTCGTTGCCACGCCGATCGGAGAACGTCGAAATAATCATTGAATGGTAGACGTCCGTCGATAAAATATTGAAAGAATTGATTAAATTCGAACTTTGGTACGTCGCCCCAGCTGTTATACAGTAAATAGTATGATATGCATACATCTTTTGGATTTCTAATTACACAAATATATTTGGCTAATGGATGATATGGTACTCGATCCATTGGTAGATGTGTTTTAATTGCAGCTGGTCGTTGCATTAGTTCGATTCCTATTTCACCATCGATCTCAAGAGCTGGATTTTGTGCAAAAAAGTGTTCTCGATCTGCATCAAATGGTTGTCCATTTGTTTGAAGATTATATACAATATTTTGCATCCATGTTGTTCCACTTCGCGGATATGTAACTATGAAAAGATCATCCGGACTAGGTTCATATTCTAGAGCATAACGAAGACTTTCGAAGCTCCATTCTGATGACCAGCATATACCATCAATAAGTTGAAATGGTTCTTTTTCTTCTTGTTCCATTCGTTATCGAAAGTCACTTACACCAAGGGAAATAAATTTTTGTAATTTTCTTTTCTGTTGTAACGTGTTGCTTTTTGTCTATTTATTGAAGTAAGAAAAAGAAAAACATGTTCGACCGCCGTCATCAACGCTATCGATACAGACGAAGGAATCTTTCTTTTTTTTTTCTTTCCATTCTCTGACTCATGTCTTACTCAAGATCGCGGAAGAAAGAGAAATATTTTATTTTCTTATAAATAACGATAAACAAAAAAATATAATGTTCCTTAAAAACATTTTAATGGATCCCACCATATAAATTTGTGACTGAATTCATCGAGAACTCTTTTAACGGTGTTATGCAAATGCATATTTGAATCATGATGATAATTTGAAAGTGCTTTAGCATACTTTGGAATATTTTGTACCCATTTTCTCAATGCTTCAACTTCTATTTTATCCGCAAAGATTCCATACTCGAGTTTTTCTAAATACCAAGCATTCAATACTTGTTCATATTGATTCTCGACTGGTACACTGAAAAATGGTCGTTGTAAACTAACTGCTTCATTCATAAGAGAAAGTCCACCATTGGCAATAACACCTTTAGCACTGGCTAGATCATCGACAAATCCTTGTTCAGAAAAACCTTTAAATTCTAGATTACCAATTTTTTCTTCTCGACCAAGTCCATAAATAATACATTTTTCACCAAACGCTTGTAAAGTATCAATAAGTGATGTATCACTTTTACTACTTTGATATACAAGAAAATGTTCACCTTGTTCAGCTGGTATTGTTTTTGCATCAATAATACTTTGACGAAGAATAGGTGGAACAAGTGTTGTATTACTTTTGTATTTATCACGAATTTCAGGAATAAAAAAACCGGTAATGATATAATGATTACAGAATGGTAATTTTCCTTTAACAAAACCTTTGTATGTATTGAATGCTTTTGGATCTGATTCTCGAGCTTCTTCTGGAATTGAGCATCGTCGTACGACATGTTGATTATCAATTGAAAGAATTGGTAATCCATGTAATTGAGCAAACATATATGCAAAACTATCAAAATCACTAATCACCGCTTGAGGCTTCCAGAATACAAGATTTCGAAAAAATGCACTCATATTTTTGTTGACTATCGTTGGCATACGTTGCATGGTATGTAAGACGGATGCTTTTTCATCAAAGACGTTATTAACATATTGCATTGTTAAACCTTCGATTTCGATTATATCAATAGCTGCTTCATCATGATTCGCTGCAGCACAACGTGGAAATCGATGGGAAAAGTTTTCATCAAGAAATTTATATGCACGATTACTCACAACCACTTTAACATGATGTTGTTCCTTCATTAATATTTCAAGTGTAACTTTCGATCGTGTGGCATGACCCATTCCTTCACCTACTACACCATAAAGAATACGCATTGTCTTGGATTTCGAAGGTTGAATGAAAGGTAAAAGTGCTAAATCAATTATACGACTCGCTTCTTCTTGTATACTTAAAATATTCTTATCATCACCAAGTGTAACCGAATTGATCTTAATATTTGTGTTATGAAATTTTTTATTAAATTGATCAATAAATTTATGTAAGGCAATTTTTGATGAATAATCACGAAATAATCCAGTTAATAAATTTGATCTAGCATTCTGACCATTTACTTGACCATATACATTAACTATACAACCTGATGAGGATTTGTGTAGTAAAGGTATAAAGGATTCTGATAAACTTAATGTATCAAAAAAATCTTTTGCTTCAAAACCTTGACGTGTCATAATATTGATTTTAAATTGACCATTATCATGTAATATTCCAACATTAATTAAAATATCTAATTTTCCAAATTGTTCATTAACTGTCTGAAGATCGATCGTATCAAGGATAACAAATTTTGGTTGTATACCATGATCATTCAATGTCTTTATTAGTTGTTCTACTTTAGTTGCATTATTTGAACACAATAAAACACATACACCTTTTTTTGCTAACTGGTAAATTATTTCATCTTCTAATTCACTACCTGTACCAATAATTAGAGCAACAATTGATGACATGACGATAAACTAAGAATCTAAAATAATATACAGTGTATATATCGTTATTTACTCCTGGTCAGAGATATTATATTGCACAACTTTTCTCTTAAATCAAATAAATAATGAAAAGAAGAACTGTTAAACTCATCCTTCATGTTGTGTGCGTAACAAGCAGTTTACATTATAATAATCGATATCAGAGAAAAACAACCATTGCCACGTGGACTGTTTGTGAAGGACGTTCGAAAGAAAAGAAAACATACGGCATATAATGCTACGACGATTAAATTACCTTTTTTTGTGATACCTAATCTTTTTACTTACTACCATGATAGTGAATATTTATATGCACGTTGCAATTTCTTATGATTTTTTTTGTACTGATACGAACAACAACAGTATGGGTGAGACTGAAGATGAGGGCAGATGTAGATATTGTATTAATCATACACCCACACCCGAGTTTTATTCATAACTAAGAAGTTTAAATTAATAAACATTAAAAAACGCATCAACAAGAGTGACAAACAGTATCATTCATCACAATCTTCTTCGTTGTCATCATGATTGTCAGTATCATCATTATAAATAAACTCTTCTAGATGTTCAAATATTAAATTATCATCTCTTTTTAATTGTTGTCTTGTCATTTTTGTTAAGTTAATACTATGATATAATATTAATACTTTTAAGTTTTTCAATGAATATAATTTGAATAAATCTTTATCTGTATATTCTTCTTGATGTCTATTGTATGGATGTGATAATGATAATTCTTCTAGACTGATCACTGTTGATAAAATAGTAAATGATGGAAAACAAACAGATTCTAAATTTAAGATTTTTAATTTGTTATGATAAGCCATACTTGATAATAAATCGTCTATATCTTTTGTTGATATCCTTATTTTATTCAATGATAGAGTTGTTAGATGAATAAATTGTTTGAAAATATTAACATATTCAAAAGTTAAGTTTACTTCATATTCATCTTCAGTACAATCAGCTTCTGTTGGTTGTTGAACGATCATTAATTCATCATGTATAATATCTTTAGCACTTATTTCCAATTCTCTCAATGTTTCTTTTAATGAAAGTAAATAATTAAAGCCAATAAGATTTAATTTACTTTGTATAGGTGAAAATCGATCTGATTTTAATGATGTAATCGTTGATATTTTACTTAAATAATATAAAATTTCATTTGTAATCAAAGTATGTTGAAGATGAATATATTGTAATGGAGGTAAACATGGAATAGATGATAATATTTGTAAATCATTTGGTACTATTTCAAACCATTCTAGATGTTTTAAATTAGGAAGATAATGAATTGAAGTTAATTGTTTCACTGGAGTTCTTAGATTCATATAATGATCTAATCGAATAATTAATTTTTGTAATTTTGTTAACTTCTGAAAATGTTTCTCAATATCAAATTCAATTCTTGTACTTGATGAAACAAGAAGAA